TTTCTTATTACTTGGGTTAGAATGAGCCTGTCTTTTGTTGAATCAAAATCCGCCGAGTGCCCTGAGAAGGTGTTGAAAAGCTAAAGGCTAAACCTGGAAAAGGGTGTCATTGTGTGGTTGCAAGTCTCACAGGGAACCTTGGAGTTTAGGAGAAAGAAAGTTCACTCAGAAAGAAGGTTCCAGTGGGCCTGCCCCAGGGTGGGCAAGTGCTGGCATCTTTGAGAGGATTTGTCTGCTTTCCAAAGTCGGGTATTTTAGGGGAGGTCTCGGGAGAGGAGCTCAATAGACTATTCATCAGCTTTTCCAAGTGCGTCCTGTCAGGGCGGTGGCATCCTGATTGGTTGGCACCATGGGTTAAGTCATTAGCAATTTGGGGTGATCTTGGGGTTGCCTGGCTGGTTCTGCTGCTCTTTTTTTGGCCTGGAGCTGAAACACTATGGAGGCCTAGGTGTTCCCTCAGGGGAGAATAGCCCAGCAGAGGGTCAGAACTGAATGAGCAGCCAGGTGCCACAGGAGGAAAGCCCACCCTGGGGGCGAGGTTCCCCACCAGTTTCACCCATTGTTAGACACTCAGGGGCTTTCTGCCCTGTTTACCTTCTATATCTGGCTATAAATTGCTCAGCCAGTTTGTTCATCTATCTGCCTGAGTTTCCTCATTCCACTTGCCATGGATTTTCCTAGCTTCTTACTGCCCTGCCTTATTATATTTTACTTGGCATTCTTGAATGTCTTAACGTTTAGAAAGCTGTTAGTGATTCTTGTCCTGGAGAGAAACTATTGAATATTTCATACCTGCTCTTCTAGATCCCTCCCCACCTACAACTTCTTCCCATCCTTCCCTGCACGGCTGACCCATGGTGACTGCATCATTGGCTCCCTTGCCCTGGGGCTTCTGGTTGGTTTGGCTCCTGAGAGGCAGTTCCAGGAGACTGGAGAATGTGAGGAGTGTGATTGTTTTATTTCCTCAGTTCCGGCCAGGCCTGGTTACTGCAGGTTGGATTCATATCCACTGAAGGCAACACCCTCCGTCCATGGTCCTCCTGGGCAGTGATTCTCTGAGAGCTACACTCTCTCCTTGTACCTGCAGCTCCTGCTGTAGCTAGTCTTGGGGATGCTTCATGTTCTTCTTTTTTATTTTACGATTCTAAATGTGTTTATATAAAATACTTTACAATAACAATCTTTCACTGAAAATTTTAAAAATAAAGGAAATATAAAGAAAACGAACATAAGATGAACAAATTTACATAGTTTTGATATTTCATGACCTATAATTAGATTTTTATTATTTTATTATTTAAAAACATTTTATTGTATTTTTTCCATTTGTCCCCCTTCTTCTCCTTCCCCCCACCTGCAATCACCCCACTTTTGTCTGTCCATGAGTTCTTTCTTCCCTTTTTAAAAAAAGTTTTAGCTAAACAACTATACAGTAATATTTAAATAAATCCACTTGTTTTATACAAAAGAAACACCCTCCCACAGTGGTCTCATAACTTCACTTTGGCGAACACCAATTTGATGCTTTAGGATTTTAATATGTTAACAAATGTTCAAACTCAAACAATTTAGAAATATCTTCATATCAAATTCCTTCAACTCTGTGTCCTTTTAAAGGGCCAGTTTCCATGACTATAGTAGCTGAAAAGGTCCCCTCATTGATGGAGTCTCAGGTACCTTCACTTCCTCTGTAGCCTCCATTTAGAACGAGAATTCTTTTTCCTGGTGCTGGAATTACTGTTTCTATCTGTTTTAAAAAGAATTTTTACAAAGAGAAGGGAGGGAGAAAGAGAGGGAGAAAAACATAAATGTGTGGTTGCCTCTTGCACACCCCTCACGGGGGACCTGGCCCACAACTAAGGCGTGTGTCCTGACTGGGAATCCAACTAGCAACTCTTTGGTTCACAGGCTGGGGCTCAATCCCTGAGCTACACCAGCCAGGGCAAGAATTACTGTTTCTAAATGAGTCTGGTCAAAGTTCAGCTCATCTCCAGAGTCAATTATCTTCACAACAGCTGTATATCTGTCAATATTTCCTTAACAATGCCTGTTTTCTTATATTTCTCTCCAAGGTTTTTGGTTATAATTCTCATGATGATTTCAGGCTGCAGCTCTTTTATTTCCCTTTTTAATCTCCATGATTTCACCAAGTGTGGATTTCTTTTTCTTTTTTCTTTTGGTTGAGCTGAGCTCTGGAAACTGTTTCCATTTCACTGATGCTATGTCCCAATCGCCTTCAATGCACTTTGTCCCAAAGAACTTTTCTTGGAAGATGTTGCTGTTGAGCTACATGCTCCTTTATTCAAATTTAATGTCACTTTCTCTTCACTCTTTTCTCTGATTAATTCTGTAAAAACAGGGCCTCCTGTTCTTTCCTTTCCAGACTTCTTCTCACTTGCTCTTCAATAAATTTGTCAGTTTTTTCCTCATCAAGGTCGTGTTCCCTCTTTTTCTCTAGTTCAGGTGCCGGTGGACAGTTTCTGGGTCCCTGTCTCTCTACTGAGTGTACCGGCCTTTCAGTGTCTTATCCACTCTGCACGAGCCTTCTCTGCCCAGCCACGTGGTGAAATCAGAGTCCCACTGAGTGGCATCCATACGATGTGCTCTCCGTGGCAGATGCACTCGTTATAAACCATGTTGTCGTGAACTCTCTTTGTGCCAAAGTGTCTCCTGAGAAGTTCTAGGAAGTCATTTCAGAGTTGCTCTGAAAAATAATCCACAAACTGCTTAGGATTCTCTGAAGGCAGCATAAGTTGTCTCTGATGCAATTGGGACATACAAGGACACTTAAGGCCATTCTTGTCTCCGCACTGCTTCTGGCGCATCTGGCAATACCAGCACAGCTTCTGAAGCCTCTTGGATCTCATCCTGCTGGCGATGGCTGCAGGGGTAAGAAAATCTGTCTTCCCCCACTGTGACCACAGCAGCAATAACTTCCTGGAGCTCAGCGGTCTGCCACCGGAAAGCGGTGGAAAGGGGCTGGCAGGGATGGGCAGGACAGCTTCATCCCACCCCCACCGCACCTCCCAACTGCCCATTCCCATTTAATTTGTTTCTTATGGGTTTCCCTTACCTCGTCTACACCTTTATAAGTAGTTGCTTTATCATACTCACCTGGATCGCACCATTTGAGCATACCTGCTGTTACTAGATATAGCAACTTAACCATTTATTTATCCCCTCATTTTTAAAAAAATATTTTATTTTGCCCTGGCTGGCGTAGCTCAGTGGATTGAGCGCGGGCTGCGAACCGAAGTGTCACAGGTTCGATTCCCAGCCAGGGTACATTCCTGGGTTGCAGGCTATAACCCCCAGCAACCACACATTGATTTTTCTCTCTCTCTCTCTCTCTCTTCCCCTCCCTTCTCTCTCTAAAAATAAATAAATAAAAACTAAAAAAAATAGTTAAAAAAATATTTTATTTTTAGGGAGAGGGGAAGTGAAGGAGAAAGGGAAAGAAACATTGATGTGCGAGAGCAACATAGATGGGCCCAGGCTGGGGGCCCAACCTACAACCTAGACATCTGACTGGGAATTGGCTAGGCAACATTTTCGGTGCAGGCATCACTGCTCCAACCAGCTGAGACACCCAGCTGGCATGCATTTTAAACTGGCAGCACATCTCAGTCCAGAATAGCCCCATTTCAAGTGCTTAATGATCAGTGTTTATGGTGCTGGACTAAAGAAAAGGTATCTTCATGGCCTACTAGTTCCCTTAAGCTTTATTTGCCATCTGTTTCAGAGAGATGTTGGTTTAAAATAACTTGCACAGAATGTAGTTTCAGTATTTCTGTCAGGTGAGTAGCGACCTTTCAAGAGGTAAATTCCCACCCTGGCTGGTGTGGCTCAGTGGATTGAGCACCGGCCTGCAAACCAAAAGGTCACTGGTTCAATTCCCAGTCAGGGCACATGCTTGGGTTGTGGGCCATGTCCCTGGTCTAGGGCATGTGAAAGGCAACTAACTGATGTTCATATCACATTGATGTTTCTTTCTTTCTCCCCCACCCTTACCTCTCTCCCTAAAAATAAATAAATAAAATAAAAAAAAGAGGTAAATTCCCAGGAATCAGAACGTAGAAACTATTCAAGCTAGTTACTCGAGCTTTGTCAGAATGACTGCCCTTGTGTTTTTTTTTTTCTTATTGTGTGATTCCATTTATATGAAATGTCCAGGACAGGGAAATCCATAGAATGGAAATACATTGCTGGTTGGCAGGGGATAGGTTGAGGGAATGGGCAATAACTGCTTAATGGGTGCATGGTTTCACTGTGCGATGATGAAAATGTTTTGGAACTAGGTGGGGTAGTGGCTTTACAAACACTGTGAATGTACCACATACTACCGAATTGTTCCCTGTGAAATGGTTACTTTTATGTTATGTGAATACCACCTCACTAAAGATAAATAAATATACAGACTGCAAGAAAAAACTGTGAAGGCATGTATCAACCAAAAAAGCAAAAGATGTTTACATTTACAAAAACAGCAAGGGGTGGGGAACAATCTGATGTCATGCACCACTGCCACATTCACGTCAAGCTGTCCAAACCTAGTTAAGCCACGCTTCTGTACCCTATGGGCCTACCTGCCAACTGGAAAGGTCACTGCGAGTGTTCTAAACATCTAACACAAAGACTAGAATTCCAGAATTACCTGGTATTTCCTCTCTATTGGACATTTCATTACTAGTTGGGGTCATAAGTTCAAAGGCTATATTTATGAATGCAATTCTTGGATACACACTCTGATAAATACCAAGCATATTACCTGGGGCAATGGACTTCACTCAAAAGCCCAGGGCATTTGGCTGTTGAAACTATACAGCTCTCTCAATGACTCTAATACTCAAGGGATTAAAGGATACAGACTCAGATTTTACATACAGAAACACTAAAAGCATAATTGACTACATTATTATTATTATTTTTAATCCTCACCCAAGGACATGTGTCCATTAATTTTTACAGAGGAAAGGAAGGAAGGGAGGGAGGGAGGGAGAGCGAGCCAGGGGTTGGGGTGGGGAAAGGGAGAGAGAAACATAGATGTGAGAAACATGTACCTATTGCCTCCAACATACCCCAACGGGGGATGGAATCACAACCAAGGCATGTGCCCTGACTAGGAATCAAACTAGCAATACTTCTGTGCAGACTGCATTTTTAAAATGTTCATTTCCGATTCTGTGGAGCAGCTGCATGGCTACAGCTCCAGTCAGATGCCTGAGGTCGCTGGAATTCAAGGGGTCCAGGTCTGGGGAATTCCCGGACCTTTTAGGCCTATGGGGTTTATCTTGACTTCTACTTCAATGGCTATGTCCCCCAAAACGTCTTTTGGCCGGCCAGTCTGAGCTTCGACCTCAGTCACTACCCCTGCGTTTTATTTTCTTTTCTTCCTTCCTTCCAGCTTGAGGACTTGTGCTCCTGCTTGGGCATCTCCTCTCTCAGCAACCTCTACTGGATCCCCGCTGCCCCCATCTGTTGTCCTGACCTCAGGGGAGCTGGGTTGGTGATCCAGCACCTCCTGGACTCTGCCTTCTGACCCCTTTCTGAGTTCTTGCTCCAGTGCTTTTTAGAGTCAGGGTCATGCTTTTCCTTTATCGTCTTTCTTCTGGGAGTTGAAGAGGAGGCTGGCTGCTCCACCAGTACCTCCCCATTAGTCTTTCGTCTTCCTTTCTTCCTCAGATGAATTCAATGAAGGGGTTTGAGCCCCACAGCCCTTATCCTTTGGTCACAGTCTCTGCGTTTCTGAGTCCTTAGGAGCCCGATAGTCGGACACGTGATCCACTCGGATAGTTCTTCCTTTGATCTTGATCCCATTAAAATTATCAACCGCCAGAATTGTGCTTCTCTGGTCTTCATAGCAGAGGAAACAGAATCCTTTGGATTTCCCTGTCTTCTTGTCCCGCACCAGATTAATGTGAACAATCTCCCCATATTGTGAGAATACACAGATGATGTCCCCTTCAGTCAGCTCAAAAGGAAGTCCTCCCAGGAAGATCCAGGCGCTGTCCTTGTACTGGGAGTGCCAGGACACCTCATCCGCCACCCCAAGCTGGACCTCACGCTCGTTCAGCTCATTGATCAGCTTGACTTTAGTTATAGGGTTCATGTCCAAGGCCTGGGATTTCTTCAAGAAATCTTTCTCTTTCAGGGCCGCAGGACCCACACAGTGGTTACTCCCACGACCACCAGCGTTCTATGGGCACGCGTGTGACTGCAGCCGAATAAACAGGAACAGCGGAGAGACTGCCTGCCATAAAACTCCCTCCTCCGGGTTGGCTACAGCTACCTTGTCCACGTCCCAAGGCCGCTGCGCTGCTTGCTGGGAAATTGAGTTTGGGCTCAGTTTGCCCGGGGCCAAACAACCAGCGCTAGAACTACCTTTCCCATGAGACACTGCGGCACGGGCTTGGAAGGTGGGTTAGGGGTCGAGGGAAGTAATTGCTGCTCCTGTACTTCATAGAAGCGCTCGGTCGCCCCTGAGCGAGCGTACAGGGAAATGTCTGTTTTCAGGGAGGTAGGCCTGGTAGGAGGTGGACTCATTCTTGTCAGGTATTCATTCTTTCGTGTAGGCATTTGACAGTATTTATTGATCACCTACTGTATGCTCCTTACTGTGCACTAGGATGCCAGATTAAATACTCTACAAGCTCTGGGTTCAAATATTAATAGGCCTTTTCCTCTTCAGAGGCTCCTAATTCAGTGTCGAACAAGGACCCGCACCGTCCTCCGTCCTCAGGGCGCAGGCGCAATGTGGGGCCTGCCCCGCGTTTCCCCCTCACCGTGGTGCTGGGGCCAGTTAGTTGGCGACTGCTGTGGACGGGCGGCTGGCAAGGAGGCCTGGCTCTAGAGATCCAAAAAATAACCTGCATCCCTTCTGTTTGGGTTCTCTTTAGTATTCGCCTAGTTCCTCTTGTGTTCATACTAGCTACTTGCTTGCCTAACTTTATACCACTCCCCGCCCCCCGCCGCCTCTTGACCATTTATGTTTGTGTTCCCTTTCCCTATTCTTAATTCATTTTTGCCACTTTGCTTTAATGTTTAGTAGATATTGAATATTCTGGTTCCCCCTTCCCTTATGTTGTAAACACTTTTGTCTATATACACATGTTCATTGCTTAAATAGGTAGGACCATGTTGATAGTTATGTGAACAGTAGATTAGAGTCATGCATGACTAATTATAAATGTGTGGATATGGACAAGGAATAGTAGCAGCAGTAGCTATACCTTTATAACATTATTCTCAATGCTTTACATGTACTTATTGGTTTATTCCTTAGTAGTAACTACCTTATGAGGTGATTTCATCACTTCATAGAGAAAAAAATTCTCTTTGGTGCAGAGGTTAAGTCACTTTCTCAACCTAACCAAAACCAAATAATTTCCCAAGCGTCTTTGTGTACCATTAAACTGCCCTTACTATACTGCCCTTACTATTTCTATAACATGACTATAGAACAGAAGTTTCACCTAATGCTTAATATTGTAGTTAAGGGTCAGGTGTCAAAACTGAATCTCTAAAATAAACCAAAACTACACAAAATGACGTAGATGTCATTTCTACCTTGCTTAGCAGGAAACTTAAGAGTCTTAGGAGAACGAGTCACTTCCTGTATCGCAAAGTCCTGCTTGCTTACCCGGCTCTTGTACACTGACTCAAGTGTCAACTGTGGGTGACACGGAGCTCCTACTACTATGTGAATGGAAACTTTTGGTGTGGCAAAATGACTGGTTAAGTGTCATAAGCTTAGTCAAATACATGTTTGCATCAGACTAAGTGACCAAATAGACATTAAAAGGTGGAATAAATGTCATAAATTTGGAAGATATCTTCTTGTTTCCTTTTTGTGTGTGGCTTAACTCCATCTAATAGATCTCTGGGCTGTTTCAATGAAAAAAAAAAAAACACAAAAACAAAACAGTTAAGGCCTGTCTCTTGACATATGTGATTAATGCATGCAAGCACTTAATTTTTCTATTTAATAGTAAAATCTGAATCCAATTAATACCAGTGAAACAATCAGTACAGGTCTACAGATAAACTAGATTTGATGTGGAAATCTTACTGTGATGTATTACAGTAGCCAGTTTCTTCTGCTGACTTAACCAGTAAAGCATTCCAGCTGACCCAATGCCAGATAACTGAATATCAACTAATCAGTTGTAGGTAGTTATCGACTTTCATATGTGATTTATAGAAGCTAACTGCCCAGAGTTTCCATTATAAGAAGTACTAGGATTTCAAACCCCAGGTCTCCTTCCAAAGCCAGTTACTAGTTCTGCATGCAGATGTGATGGGATGGTTATGGAAATGACTCTCTCATCCCGTGACTCATTTTACTGTTTATTGCTTTTATTCTACTTCCTTATAAAAGGCTGGGTAACACCTTGCACTTTGTTTTTCCAATTAACTAACCCAGTTGTTTCACTCAATGACCTTGTCTTCCTTCCTGGCTTGCTTTTTCAACTCTTTCCACTTCTGTCCTGTTAAGATTGTTTTGTATCTTTATATGGACTTTCAGCCTGTTGACCCTTTTACTGTATCTCAATATCCAGTAGTCGTCTTTATTCCCTTGTTAGTTTGTCATTTTTCTCAAGTAACAATCTTGTAGCTCTATTTATTATGCCTTTCTTTTTTATGCTCTTAGGATTTTACTTATAACTGGGGGAGAGGGGTTCACAAACCCCTGATCCCCCTATGATTCCAAAGGCCTGCTCCAGAGACTGTGCTCTTGAGGTAGAGGGATTACCCAGGTGAAGAACCCATATTTTCTCCCAGCTTGCTGAGGAAATCTTTCCATTTTCTATGTGGTCTCATATTGTGTAGATCCTGAAATCTGGCTACCTTAATTATGCCAACAAGAAACTAAACAAAATGAGCCTTGTTTTTACTTGGTTCCCAATTCACTTCAATGCCAATCACAACCTTGGGGTACATGCTCCCTGGGACTCTGTGGTCTGGAGGTAAAGAACATTATCAGCAGCAACTGGGGTGAGCCCTGGTGGATCTCTCAGACTCTGCCAGCAGGTTAAGACATGGAGGTAAGCCCCGCAGTCCTGAAAGTTTCCTGCCTTGAAGAGCAATGAGGAGTAGAACATCCTACTAAAAGTAGGCAGGGCCCTAGGAGAAAAATACTACAGTGAAAGACGGGAAAGAACGTCTGAAAACCTTCCTGAAAATCTTCTCAGTAGTGTGTGCATAGGATGATGAACTCAGCTGTCTGGGTTCAAATGCTGACTGTTACTCATTAGTTGTGTGACCCTTGACAAGCCACTGAATCTCTTCTAGAATCCATTTCCTGGTGGGTTAACAGTATCTTCCTCATATGTTATGAGGATTTAATGTCAGGTGTTTATTAACTTGGTATACATTTACAACTCAATAAGTATTATCATTGTTCTGTTTATAATCACTATTATCTTATTATTGCTTAGATTGTCCTCTCTCCCTTGATTCGACATGAGGACTGAAATACCAGTCCCAGCTAGAGAGGATATGAGGGTGAGGAGGCATGTGATTATCGTATATAAATAAACCAGAAAAACGCTCTCTGGGTTCTGCTCCTGACCCCTTCCTCTACCTCACAGCTGCCAGTTAACAGTTGAGTTCTACTTCCTTCCTGTCTCCAAGGTAAAGATTCATATGGTTACATGTATAGGGAAACCTAGCAGAGAGGGCCAAAGGACTTTGCCAATCCTGGTCTGCTAAATCTTGCTGGATGAGTCAAAAGAGTTGACTTTTTAAATGTCTAAGATTCTGCCTATCTCATATAGCCTTTACATTGTTTTCTTGCTACACCCTATTCATTCTGTAGGTAAATTACATTGTCCCAGAACTCCTGTGGCCATTCCCTGTCATATCTTTCCTGGTTCGTCTAGTCGCTATGGAATAAAGGATGGGAAGGTAAAATCCCTTTTTCTCTCACTCCAGTGGGAAACTGCCTTGGCTCTACTGTTAAAAGCTCTTTGTAATTTTAATACTGTAATGTAGTTTAGCCTGTTTTCTATTCCTTGGAAACCGACCAAAAAAACCACAAACAAAAAACCCACATGAATTGGGCGAAGGAGAACATGAGCCATCTGCTCTGCCTTATGCCCCCCGTGGAGAGAGTTCTCAGGACTGAAGTTCCCACACGGGGGCTCAGCACAGGCCGCAGCAGAGAAGCATGAGGAGAGCCTGAAGGACTGGACTGAGGGCCTAGACTCATCCAGAGACAGCAGTGGGGTGGGATCCAGTGAAGTGAAGTGGGTGACGTGTTCCATGGAATAAGTATGCAGGGAAGTGTGCGTGGTTTTTATTACACACTAAAGAGAGAAGTGGGTCTCTGAAGACTGCCTGGAACAGGGTAGAGACTTTTGAGAAAGATAGACAAGGCTTTCTAAGCATGTTGTTCCTTTTTGCTGACCTATACCTAAAGTCCATGGTAGGGTCCTGGGTCTAGGGAACCTCCACCCAGGAGGGCATGAGATTCCCAGAGACTGGCTTCCACTCAGATAGGGAAGGCCAATGCCCGATGGGTTGGAGCCAAGATTCTCTCATTTAATAGTACCCATTCAGGTGGCAATCAGTGATCCTGGTGAACCTCAGTGATCCTGCCTGTGACTATGACACTGGGTCAGAGACAGTGCCACTGAGGGAACTCATTTAAAAGTATCACCAGGAAGTTATTCTCCAAGCCCATCCTCAGCAGTCGAGGTGGTACACAGTTTGACTGAAGAGCCTGCTTAGCTTCTTCCTTTTGACCTTTGACAGCCAAGAGCTCTGCCCAGGGCCTGAAGTACCTGTGGGCTCTTTCTCAGGCACTGGGAGGTATGGTGCTGAGGAAACTGGCTCTTCTGGCTGGTTCAGAAGTTGGGTATCAGTTCCTTGTGGGGAAGGACTATTTGAGATCTGAGGATCTCCAGTGTCTTGATGCTTCTGCCTCACTTGGATCTCTAGTCTGGTGACTGCCACATACAGATTCTGTAGATTCACGACAAAGGGTCTTCTGTCACAAACACTGCATGCCTCTGGTAGTTTTTGTGGGATTCAGGATGACTTAATTTCTCTGAGTGAATCCATCATATCTCCTCAACCTGAAGTGGCCTTTCCTCAGAAGCTTCTATCTGGTTTCTTTTTCTGATTGCAGATCCCTGAGGTTAGTGAGGTGATAAAAAGGAAAAAAGAAGCAGAAGTAAAACTTGGCCTATTTCTTTTCCTGCCATTCTTAGCAAGGGAGGAACCCAGAAGGTTCACATTCCCTTCCTCATGGAACTCTCTAGTCCTCTAAATTCTTGGCTTGGTTCTGCCTTTCTAATAAACCTGAACCCAGCATGAATCAAGTACCTACTGTGTCTTAATATTGGAAAGGTAGAGCTTAGATAAATTAATAAAGACCTAATAAAGAATTGGGTAATATTAATTAGGTAACTATTAAAGAATTAATAAGGTGGATTCATGCCTTAAAGTCATTACTGACTTTGGATTCTTCCAACTGCCAAACATTAGCAGAACGGAGGGAGGGGAGAAGCCAGAAAAACAGTGTTTTTGGGCAGTCTTAAGCTTAGATTTCTCTAAAACAAAAACAAGAAAAACCAGGTATCTTTTTCTTTTTTCATAACAAAAACTTCCCCTTGCCTTCAAAGATTATAAATAAGTTGGCAGAGCATGCATTAACAACCACAAATTGATGTAGCATGAGTTGAATTTGGGGTTTTGACCTTATACTCATCAATTCTGCCATATTAAACTCACCAATATGGAGTGGCTCAGTGGATTGAATGCCGGCCTGCCAACCAAAAGGTCACAGGTTCGATTCCCAGACAGAGCCTGGGTTGCAGCCCAGGTTCCTCAGTTGGGGGCGTGCAAGAGGCAACCAGTTGATGTAGCTCTCACACACTGATGTTTCTCTCCTCTTTCTCCCCCCTTCCCCTCTCTCTAAAAAGTAAATAAGATCTTAAAAAATAACCTCACTAATTTAAGTAGCTGCCATATTCTAAGATGGGTAACTTTCACTGACTTCCTTCTTTTGGAATCAGTCTCTGGTACATGAGCGTTAAGGCTAAGTCCTGGGACTGCATCTCTGTCAGCTGGGACACAGAGAGAACCCTTGGGGTGAAGAGACTCAGGTAGTGTGAAGCTCTGCAAGGTAGTTTGAGACATTAGGCCCCTGAAGCATGCCCAAGTTCCCCACTGTGCCCGAAGGAGGATGGCTTGGGTGACTGTATTTCTAACCAGTTCAGAAGATAGCCATGCCTCACCTTTCCTCCGGAAGATTGTATGAAACAGAACAAGTATCTTCTAGTGGACTTTAACTGAAAACGTTTCTCTTGACTCATAGATGGAGAGTGGATGACAGCCAGTGGTAGTGGTCAGGGAGGTTGGGGGTGGAGGGACTGAGCAAAAAGGAAAAAGGACTGAGGACATGGACAGCAGTGTGGTGATTGCTGGGGGTGGGGGTATAAGGAGACTAAATGATAATGAAAAAATATCCAATAAAGATTAAATTTGAAAAGGAAACAAATATGCTATCTTTATATTGTAGGATACTACAATTAGAAAATGTGTCAACATATAATGGGTTTTATTCTGAAATGAATTAAAAAGTATTTTAAAATAAAAAAATAAAAATGTTTCCCTCTATCTATCTCAGTGTGGTAAAGCCAATCCCTGTAAAAGTGGCAATATCTATACTTTCAGGCCCCAAATTTTAGGCAAATTACCAAAACTGGTCATGGTTTTTCAACTTAAAGCTTTCCTCTTTTTCTACAGTTGCTAAGTGCCCCCTGCTGGAAGCTGTGTTTAAAGCTCTGATTGGTCATTGTGCCCTAAAATGCTCAAACAGGAGACTCTGTGTGTGTCATCCCTGAACAGGGACCAAGGCTTCGCAATCGTGAGGCCACGGCACCAGGCCCGCGTTACGTCATGTCCCTGTGGCCTTTGCTCTGACACATATTTACCACAGCTTCATTGTTGGGCTGCTTCTTGTCTGGGTTCTTATCCCAGGCTGATGCTTCTGAGGGTGATGTTTGTCAACAGTCTCTCTCTACTCCTCCCACCAAAGGCTAGTTGCTTTGTTTTCATTTGCTCAGGATATTTGAAAATGGATAGAACTGGAAATTTGGAGTTGGTTGGGGCCCTGAATGTTGGCTTCTGATTGGTCTAGAAAAAAATACCTTTTACCCCCAAGCATACTTCCCCATTTTTTGGTGGAAGTTTTAAGGTTTGGGGGTAATGCAGTGACAGAAGTGAAACAGTTAACTCTCTGGACAGTAACCATGTTTATCAGATTCGTTTATGAGGCTGGGGTGGCCCAGACTGGTGCACCTCGGGCTGTCTGGTGCAGGGCTGGCTCGTTTCTAAGCTGCCGTGGGCCGACATCTTATAAAATGCAGGTAAACAAATTATCAAAAAAATAAGAGCCAAATTCTATTAGACTTAATAGACATAAAACATAGACAATATGTTTTGATAAACATACTCAGAAGAAAAGGGAAGAACTATCAATTGTGTATTCATTAAAATAATAGGCGACAAAGTATTACAATTGCAGAATGATAGGTTAGTGTTATCCAGAATTATGGTAATTGCACCAAATGTTCTTGCGCAGAATGAAAAGTGGGCATTAGTACTTCAAGCACTCAGTTCTTAATGTGACACATTTGCTTCTTAATTTATCGAATCTGGGCTGGACTGACAGCAGTGCTCCTCACAAGGGATGATGTAACGGAAGCACCCTGTTTTGTTTCAATACTTTTTCTAGTAGGGACACTGGTTTCATGCTGGCATGTTGATTGGAATGGAAGAAGACTTTAAAGCCATCACAGCAGGCTCTGGAGATACTTAACTTAGCCAAAATAAATCAAGGGATGCTATATTTTAGAAACTCAACCTTCAACCCTTTATTGCTAACCAGTTGTGGTTAAAGCTAAGGTTATCTTCCTGCAAAATGGATTCCAGGTCTGAATATTCTATGAATGGATCTTCTGATGGAAAGCAAAATTCAACATGTTCTACTTTATAAGGTCTTTGATTGTCTTGTAGATGTATGATAATCAAGAATCCCTACCTCATTTATAATTTTAAAATTATGTAATATAATAACCTCATTGGCTCAAGAGTGTAACTTTTGCTTTTTCTCCTCTATCTTACCTGTAACTGCATACCCATATTGATGTTTGGAAGCTTTCCAAGGCTGTCGGTGCGGTTTGGAGTGCAGGGAGCATGTAGAAGCTCCCTTGTCTGCTCATCCACTTGGATCATTCTATCAATAGGTTATTGCCCAACACTGGAGAAAGGTATGTAATAAATAAATGATGTCAACTATTTGGAGCTATAGTTTTTGGAATCTTACGTGGCTGAGGAAGGACTAAAATTTATGATGGGAGCCTTAAAATTGTTGGAGAACTAAAAATGCCAAGATTTCACTATGGCAAGTTTCAAAAGTGGCTAAATCCTAGAGATTGCTACACTTGGGATGCCGTGCCTCCAAATTCCCATAAGAGACTATGCCAGTGCATGCTTGAAGAGTTCTAGCCACCTCCTCTTTCTCTCATGGTATCCCCTGGTCTGCCCTCTGTTCTTTGACAATGCAATTGGTCCTTGCTTAATTGATACGGCTTGATCCATAAACATGGTTTCAAGCCATAAGTGCATTTCTATGCAGACCAGGCTATGATTCCTTGAGACTATCCTATATAGGGATTCTGGAGATGCTGCTTTTCCATGGACTTATCTGTGCTTTGCTGGGAGGTGACATAATTTAGACATTAGAACAAACACAGACTTGGCAGCCTGAACTGAGCTGGAGTTCTAGACCTTCAATCTTCTGACTGTATAACCTGTTGGTGAACCAGTTCCTCCCTCCAAGTCCCGGTGTCTGGTTAGAAACAGATACCAGGGTTGTTGGGACTGAGCAAAGTACACAGAAGAAATTTTGTATAGGACAAGGAAATTGTTGATCACTCCAGTTATTTTTTTGCCTGACACAGGACTTAGTCTGCTACTATAGTTGTCTAAGATAAAGTTCTTATCCAGTAAAGGGAACAGAGGCAGAAAGAGTGGGTGAATCCAGAGCCTGCACAAAGGGGGTGTTTAAAACATTTTGCTCACCAAATGTTGCTCACCAAACTGAAACACTGAGTCTCCCATAGCAAAGTAGTCTAGTACAACACTTTTTAATCGTGCTGCACATGGGAAATATTTGTTTAACACATACTGGAGGGGATGTGAAAAGCTAGATAAAGCTGCTCATGGCTGCAAGCCCCAGTGTGTCTGAGGAATGAGAGATCTGTGTCATATCCATCAATGTAACCCACTGCGCGAGGCTTCTCAGGTGGAAAGCTCTGCTCAAGGGTCTGGTCTATGTGGAGAAAATGTCCTGGAAGGTTGAAAAACTTGATAGGATAAGCGGCATACTTCAGATTGTATTCTGTATACCAGGGAAATTTGGAGGTCAAATTGTTGTTGTTGTGGTTGTTGTTGTTGTTCTTCTTTTTTTTGGTAAAGATTTTATTTATTTACTATTTTAGAGAGAGGGGAAGGGAAAGGGAAAGAGAGGTAGACAAACATCAGTGTGTGAAGTTGCATCTCACGTGCTCCCCACTGGCAACCTGGCCTGCAACCCAGGCATGTGCCCTGAATGGGAATCGAACTGGTGACCTTTCAGTTTGCAGGTCGGTACTCAATCTACTGAGTCACACCAGTCAGGACAAAAATCATTCTCCTTAAACATGAATAATCATTACTAATGGGAAGACAGGGTGGGGCAGAAAAGCTTCATTTTGTGAAGTCCCTTAGCACTAACTCAAGATCTAGAGTCACTTCTATTTCTTGTGACCTCCTGGGCCCGCAATGACCACTTAGCATTGTCAGGTCTGCTACTGCTCCTAGGCTGAACTTTATACATTTTTAGTGATTAATTTTTTGTTTGCTTATATTCTGAGCTCCCATGTTGAACACCAGTCCCAAGAACTTGATCCCTTCTTAAACGTACTTCTAGGACCGTGGCAATGTGCTATGTATGCGATTTACCCAGGAACAGTGGCTGTCTCTGAGGCAGAGCTTCCCTGTGTAGTGTCCATGCTGTGGTCAGCCCTGGTGCAGCCTGGTCAACCACTGAACTCTACCATGAATCAGTTCTGACCTGGGGAGGTAGCTTCTTTTGAGGTTCACTTTGGTCATTCTATAAAATAAGGATAAAGGGTGGTATTAGCTCTAAATTCTCAACTACTCGAAATTGGACTGATCTTGGAGTTTCTTTTGGTGTGACTGAAGGTCAGGGAAAGAAGGGAAATGGAAACATGACATGGTAACTGTCTTTACCTTGTCATGTACCACCTTGATATAACAGAGTCACGTCTCAGCAATTCTGTGTGGCTCAGAGGTCTCTGATCCAACAGCGGATGAGAATTGTGAGACACATGCCCAGACATGAGCTCGGGGACTTTTTTCTGTGTCTTCCTGTACAAGAACAGCTATGACTGGATCTCTTTCGTATATTGGGCTTTCTCTAAATTGTCATTTGAAGACAGGGGTCAACACTGGAGTTTGGAAAAACCCTGCACACCATAATGGCCAGTATCAGAACTGACACCAGAGACTAAGCTGGTCCAAGTTCCCTAGGTCCTTCTGGAGAAGGGTTGCCTTGTGTGTCTCTCTGGCTGGCTCCTGAAAGGCAAGGGAGTGAGGGTTGCTTGAATAAATCTTGTTTCTTTGCTTTTAGGGGAAAGAAAGGATGTGACTTCTGAACTAAATGGGAAGTGGACAGTGAAACACTGGACACATGGAGGACTGAGGCAGTGGCTTCTGCTTTGAGTGGTGCCAGGAGACCATGTGGAGTTGAGGGGTGGGCAGTGAAATGGCAGGGAGAAGCCTAATTTGTAGCTACTTGGATACATGTCCCTTGTAGGACTGCCTGCCTGCAGTCTTATTAACATCCTTAGATATACAGGATGACCACATTGTACTGTAGGCATGAAACTCCCAGTAGGGTTGTTTAGTAGGTTTATATCAAGGAAAAGGAAATAAAGTAGGGTTTTAGTATTGGAACACCCTGGCAGTAATTTTTGGTCACATGAAAAGAAAACTCAAATATAAGTTTTGTTGCAATGTTTTGTAAGAGCCAGCTGTTGGTTCCTTGAATAAAGGACAAATTCAGTGAAAAGACCAGTAGGGCTACCCTTTGTGCGCCAGTAGACAGTAGGAAGTCTGTTTCCCCCTGACTTCTTTGTGGGATTGCACCGGAAGATTCTTTTTTTTCCTTTATTCTTGATCTCTTCCAAATGAATGTTTCTCAGGGGAATGATGTACCTCCAGCCAGTGGTTTATTTTTCCTCCCCTTCTCAACCGTATCCAAGGGAAGAAGGATTGGGTTAAATGAGTCTGGGAACCATTCATGAGGCATGTGTAGCTGAAGCCTTCTCTCTAGCTTTTAGAGCCATCTGCCCTCTTCAGTTTGTGGAAGAAACCTTGAAAACAAGCAGGATCTCTCCACTTACGTCAGAAGGGCCATTAAGCCTGGGTCAGGAGGACTATTGCTTCCAAGCTTCGTTCTCTGATCCATGCGGTAACAAAGGTAGTTTGAGACAATGACCTTGGTCTAGTTTTCAGCTGGGTCAGAACCACGTGGGGAAAGTGAGGTGAGCGGCACCTCAAACACCAGCCTGGGATGTGAGTCACTGCGGTGCCCCGACAGGACAGCCGGGAGAGGCACACCGGCAGCCTGTTGCTGCTGGTCCCATGCCCGTGGCTCCATGCCGGTGTGCGGCAGAGTTGAGGCCCAGCCATGTGTTTTCAGGGGCCCAGGTGCTCCTGACAGTACTTGGTCTCAGCTGAGCAGCAGGGCCAGGCTGTCCTCCACGGTGGGGGTGCCACTATTCCAGAAATTTACTGTGAAAGTGGGGTCAGAGAGATCTGGAACTCAGCCAGGTCCCAGTGCACATGAAAGTGAGCCTGGTGTTCCCAGGCAGTGGCCTGTCAGCTTCTTGTAATGCATCCCGTTATAGAAATTCTGGATGAGCATTTCTTCTCAAATATGCTGGTTTGGAAACACAGTGGTCCTGGCTTCCCAGGACAGACAAGGATTAAACTCTGACCTCCTGGGAGAACAGACTATGCTATCTGTTGGGTGAGGGTTTTTTTATGGTAGAAAAGGCTGAGTGGAACAAACTAGTATTGCCTCTACCTACGGAAATAGTAAGCCAAGGGAAGAATCACATTCTGAAGGTTAAGTATTGTTACCAGGGGCTTAAAAGAGGAAGGGATGGGGTACCTACTACATCCCCATTCAACCTGCCTGTTTGGCTTGTGCAGACAGCAGATGGGTCTTGAAAAATGACATTCAGGATTATCATAAATTTACCTTAGTCAGGGGGTGACTAACTGTGGCTCCTGTCACAGATGCGATTTCATTGTCTGAGCAAATTAGCACATCCTCTGGCACCTAATATGCAGCTAATGGTCTGGCAAATGCCTGCTATTGAAAGCCTATTACCAAGTCTTAGCTTTGCTGGTCTGTGAGTGAGTGGAACTGAAGTGGGACACATGCCTTGCCCCAATGGCTAGAGAGGCAGACTGCTCCCCCTGCTCCCCTCTCCTGGCATGGAGAACTCTTTCAGGATGGAGTTTCCTGTTAGCGCTGAGGAAGGCCTGCCTGGGGACGGGATGATAGAGTCGTCCTTCTCTTTTTGTGTGGTTGTGCTCAGGATTTTTGTTCTACTGTATTGCTAGTTTCTTCAGTGGACCCAGAAGTTTCCCAGAGCTGTTTCTGTTCGTGGATGACTGTGTAACAACTGGTCTTTGTTAGGGGACAGAGACCGGGGTCTTCTATCTCGTAATTTGGTGATGTCACTTGAGATTATGGTTTAGTGTTACATAGGGTGACAAGTTGACGAGGGGTAGACTGGTCTTCTTTTGACGTGTCAGCTTGGCTGGGCTCCAGTCCCGTTATTCAGTCAAACATTGACCAGGTAGGTATTTCTGTGAAGGTGTTCTGTAGATGCAGTTCAAGTCCAGGACAGCTGTTTTTAAGAAAGGGGAGTTACTTTAGATAACTGGGGCCTGGCCCAGTTTAAAGGATTTAAGAGCAGAGCTGAGGCTTCTCTGAAGACAAAATCTGCCCGAGGGCAAGACTGAGCCCTGCTTCACAGTCCAGGCCTGCGCTTCCCTTGGCCTGCCCCTCCCTTGGCCTGCCCCGAAGATCAGATTCTGGATCTGCCTCCTCTGCCCCACGGTGATCAATATCTTTACATGTATCTCCTACTGATTCTGTTCTCTGATCGAACTCTGATGGACACTTATTGTTAAGTACCTGATATAACTTAGACTGAAAAAAAACTTTTCCCCAACCACAGTAGTTTCAACCACCCAAGGGAAGAGAAAGATTTACACAATCTTAGAAGTCTGAGCCTTCAGTGCCCGCTGTCCTACGGTTTATCCTCTTCTGCCACCTTGTGGTACTACTTGGAAGTTTACCGTGATGACTGCTGAAGGAACGCACCTGAAAATTCTTAAGCAATTCTGCTGAGTCACCTTCTCATAAGAAAATAGGGAATTAGGCCAAGATTACAACCAGGTGAATCACATTTCTCTATTTCTCCAGTAATTGGAGTTGAGTAGTTAGACATGCAACGTGTCACCTTCCTAGCTGAAAACATACTTTAGAATGTGAATATTTGTGATAAGTTAGAATAAGTGTTTATTTCTTCATGTTAAAATTTCAGAATTAAAAGAGCAATATCTTCTCTGTAGGAAAGCTTTGTATATTTTTCTTTTGAGGTTCAAAGTCCCTCCTTTCTCACTACCCACCTCCCCATCCCACTTAGCAGGTGTTCACTGTCAAAGTCACCTAAGGTCATGCTTCAGAAGGCTGAGCAAATACCAATGAGCATAAAGGATTATAGAAGCACAAGAATTACTTTGCAAAAAATTTGATTATAATGTACATGTTTTATGTGATTTCCCTTTATACTCGATATGTCATGGTCATTCTTCAAAAAAGATCTGCTCACTTCTTAATGTATCCCCAGTAATGTATAGTATAAATGGACCATAATTTATTTAATGTTCTCCTTATCGATAGACATATAGTTTTGTCTAGCCTCTTGGCAATGAAAAATGATGCAGTGAACAAACTTACAACTATAGCCTTGCTCTCCATGCCTTGAATAGCAACAACCCCTTCTTGATACTGGTGCTGAGTACCTTGTCCAATGCTAGAAGCAACAAACCTAGCCTACGATAGTCCTTCTGGCTATTTTCTCTTGGTTCTCTGTCTGTCCATCAGCTGTACAGCCATCAAAGACAAGTGTGGCCTTGAAGGTTTTTTGCTTAGATCTCCCTCCCTTCCCACGCAAGAACCTCCCATTCAGCTGCTTGCTGGGAGTACAAATGCTAGACAGCCTCCAGATGTTGGTCCTTCAGGATCCACCTCAGCTTTTGAGCAAAGGCATGGTTTTCTGTGGCCTACAGCCAACGGCTGAGCATGGCAGTTATGACTAAGACCGGTTTCTGCCCAAATGTGTGATCCTGCTAACAACAGTCTTTAATCTGTGGTTTCCTGCTGGGTTGGCTACCACTTAGATCTGCACAGCAGTGGAGGCTCTCCCTGCCACTTCTCTCCCTGCTTTCCTTTCACACAAGCCAGGGCTGCAGAGCCACCCGAAGGCTTTCCCTGCTGTGGCTGAAAGAATAATGCCCCCTGGAAATGTCCGCATCCTAATGTGGTGAACCTGTGAATATTACTGTGCAGGCAAAGGAGATCTGCAGATGTGATTAAGTGGAAGATCTTGAGATAGGGAGGTTGCCTTGGGTTATGTGGGTTGACCCATGTGATCACATGGGTCTTTACAGAGGAAAAAGGGAGATGGGCAGGAAGGAGAAGTAGAGATCAGAATGATGTGAGGCCAGGAACGTGGGCTGCCTCTTAGAAGCTGGATAAAGTAAGGAAAAAGATATTCCTCTAGAACTTCTGGAAGGAACGTGGCCTGCTGAGACTTTGATTTTTAGTCCAATGAAACCCATTTTAGACTTAAATTCACAGTCTACAGTTCGGAAGGTTATATCTTAAGCTATTACGTTTGTGATCATTTATTATAGTAGCAAGGAGGAATTAACACTCTTGTTCAACCTGGTGTTCACTTTTTGTCTTTCACAGGCATTACACTCAGGAGACCTATCACACACTGAACTCCAGAGATCTCAGCTCACTCAAAAGGGTTCAATGTTATCAACACATTTGTGCAGCAAAATTTGAGAAGCCTGGGCAATAATCATCATGGCTCAGAAGTCTAAGGAATACCTTAAGAAGGTGAAAGGGAAAATCTCAGGCAGGAAAGGCAGACAACAATGACAAGTGGCCAGCAGCTCCTCAGAGCAGACCTGATTGTCAGGACCGATGTGGCTAGCAGCTTCTAAGGTAGACGATTCAACGGGGAGGGCACAGCTCGCTCACTGGAGGCCCCCGTGGCTGGTGTTTGGGCCACATTCCTTCAACGGTGCTGGTGACTTTGACATCCTTGATTTCAGCCTTAATTACTACCTTAAATTAAAGGGTTTTCAGCTCAAGAAGTGCTGTCTAGTTGGAGAACAAAATCAACACGCAGCAATGTATGGCATTTCTATCTACTAACAACAAACTACCAGAAAGAGAAGTGAAGAAAATAATCCCATTTGTAATTGCAACAAAAGAATAAAATATATAGGAATAAACTTAGCAAAGGAGGTGAAAGACCTGTACACTGAGAACTACAAAACATGGTTGAAAGAAGTTTCAGAAGACACAGAGAAATGGAAAGGTATTTTGTGTTCATGGATTGAAAGAATTCACATTGTTAAAATGTCCATATTACCTAAAGCAATCTACAGATTCAATATAATCTCTGTCAAAATCCCAATAGCATTTTTCGCAAAAAAGGGCAGCTAATTTCTGACAAAGGACCCAAGAACATACATTGGAGAAAGGAAAGTCTCCTCAACAAATTGGGTTGAAAAAAGTGGACAGCTACACGCAAAATAATGAACACTATCTTACAACACACACACACAAATTAATTAAAAATGGATTAAAAACTGAATGGAAGTCCTGAAACAATAAAATACATAAAAGAACACATAGGCACTAAGCTTCTGGATGTCAGTTTCAGAGCTGTTTTTTGTGATTTTGACCTCAGAAGCAAGGGAAACAAAAACAAAAATGGTCTTTTCTTCTCACCCGAGGATATGTTTATTGATTTTAGAGAGAGAGGAAATAGGGAGGAGGGAGAGAGAGAAAGAAAGAGAGAGAGAGGGACATCAAAACATCAATAGGTTGCCTCCCATACATGCCCCAACTGGGGATCGAAGCCACAGCCTAGGCACGTGCCCCAGCCAGGAATCGCACCCACGATGTTTTGGTGTACAGGTAACACTCCAGCCCCTTCGTTCTCTCTTTCGCTTCGTTCTTTTCTCCATTTTCTCTGTTCTGCCTTTGTTCTCTTTGTTCTCCCTGTTTGGTCGTGAGCATGCACCATGCTACATAGATATCAAGTTATAATATCTTACATCTGAAATGTATGTTATTAACTAATGTTACTCAATAAAAAATAATTTGAAAAGGAAGATTACTAGAAGTGCAATGAAATCCTTTTAATTCAAGGAACTGATGATATCCAGAAGGCATGAAATTGATCTAAGGCCAGATTCAAACCATTTCTGACTCCAGTGGTCATACAATTTTCATGATGTGCTGCCAGCCTTTCAGTTTATATCCTTAACAAGGAAGGAAGGACCCTTTCTTTATTAATGTGATTGATAGGTTTCTTGAGAATAGTGGTTGAAAGCCTAAGCAGTTTCATCTTGTCACTCTTTTTCTAAGTATGGTTCTTAAATTTCAGGGGCATTTTTGTTGACAGGATGAACATTTATAAGTTTTTTCTAGAAGGGAGAATTGAGTTTCTGGAACTTTAGAATTCTCCCCCTTAACACCCCCCCCCCGCCCCCCGTCCCACCCACCCCACCATTCCTCCAAGAATGCAGTCACAGGCATAGTTTGAGTACTTTAATATGGCACAGGGACACGAAAGAACTCTGGACAGTGGGAGAGACAACAGGAGATCAATGCTCTGCAGTGCACATAGAGTTAAATGGATGGCAGGCTTGCTTGAGAGGTGAACAGTCAACTTGACTTGGAGATTTACATACTGGGTGATGATACTTAAAAGTTGAAAAATGAGTAGACATTTATTGAGGAGGGCATTCTAGGGGACAGCATGTGCAAGTGCTCAGTGTTTTGCAAATAATCATTATGATCAGGCAAATGTCTATTTTCTACCCTAAGACTGTCAGGAGGTGAGTGGGATGTAAGCAGGAACCAAGTCACAGAAGGCGCATTCCCTGTTGTAGCCTTGGTCTCTCTGCCTCCAACCTCATCTCAACTTGCTGTGCTTGTCTAGATGAGTGATGAGGGCCTAAACTATGGAATGAGATATGATAGATTTGAGAGGTTTACAGATTGACGAGGTGCCAGCTGAAACTTTTCCAAGCGTCCCCGTTCTGTGGAGCCTCAAACTAATTGGGAGACAACTGGCAGCCAAGAGATGGGAACGTTAGTAGTTATCCAATTTCTTGTCTGACTCAAGATTCCCTGATTTATTTGAGATCCATATCTGAGGCACTTTTTCAGGGACAATAAGAGACATTTAGGCACACCACTAATACTTGTAATTCTGAATTTCTTTTCAGCATAGTGTGAGAGCAGTCAAAACTTAGAAACCAGAACTTAAGTAAGTAATGGGTTAAGAAGAGAGTTCAAAGCTTGAATCCTGGTCATTACTAATGTAAAACGTTGCTAGCACTTGAGTCTCGGTACAGTTCATTTCCAATGCAAAGACACATAATATAATCTCTATTTTGATTGTACTATATCATGATAACTGAAATATATTGAGCTAGTATTTTTGCTTATGTTTCAAAGGCAAATAATATAGAGGCATATTCATACCACCCTCACTTCTAAAATTCTGCCTTCTTTCACTGTAACTTCACCAATGTGACGGTTTAAACTGTTCATACCAGTAAATTCATGGCTAATCAATTCCAAAGGTTGTCTAAATAAATGACATTCAATTTCCAAACAAAATGGCTCAGTGGTCCCTGTAAACATAAAATAAATTTAATGGAGGATATCGGGCAACTCATGGAATTATCAGGAGCAGGAGAACTGGGCTCAGAAAAATGTGAAAATAGAGGCACAGCTTAAAAAACCACATATTATGCTGTGTGAAATCAGTCAGACAGCAAAAGAAAAATACCATATAAATCACTTATATATGGACTCTAAACAACAGAATTAATGAATAAACAAAGTAGAAACAGACTCATAGATGCAAAGAACAAACTGATGGTTGACAGAGGGGAGGGGACTTGGGGGACTGGGTGAAGAAGGTGAAGGGATTAAGAAGTATAAATTGTTAGTTACAAAATAGTCACAGGCATGCAAAGTACAGCATAGAGAATATAGTTAATAATATTGCTATAACTGTGTATGGTGCCAGTGGGTAGTGGAAATATCAGGGTGAACACTTTGTAAAGTATATGATTGTCTAATCACTATGCTATACACTTAAAACTAAAACAAAATAATATTGAATGTAAAGTATAATTAAAAAAATAAAATTTAAATAAAAAACATACCACAAGAATCATCCGAAGATACAGGCGTCAGTACTGGGACTTTCTGCAGCTAGCAAAGCTACCGTCAGTGAATCTGCAGCAAGCAGCACCAAGAAACAAAGACACTTGAAAATTTTGACATTTTCATTAGTGGATACTGCTACACTCAAAGTCCCATACGCAAACATTTGAATGACAGCCCAGTTGCCAAGAAGACAAGGGGAAGTTGAATATACTTTTGGACTTCTGGGTTTGTAGCAGGAGCTAAGTGCTATTACACAACAAGACTCATGTAGGGCCCAATAAGAAGGGGTTCATGCTGGGTATATATTATGTATTACCACACTAATGCTGCATTAAAAACCAGTCCAAACTTAGTGGCTTGAAGCAACCACTTTTTGTGCTCCCAAGACCATGGATTTGCAAAATAGTTCTGCTGGGTTTAGTGGGCAGTTTGTTTGGTCTTGGCTGGATTCACTCTGCCGTTTGGCTAGTGTGTAATAATGGTCTCAGCTGGGATTATGAGATCTGTTCTATGTATTTTATCTTCCAATCCAATTGGGCACATTCTCATGGCAATTGCAGAGGTCTGATATCCAGGCTTGAAACTCACACATTGTCAGTTCTGCCACATTCAATTGGCCAGACTCCAGGTTGAAGGAATAGGGAAATTGTGTTTCTTCTTGTGAAGAGGTAGAATCTAAGACCAATTCCAAAAATAACCCCAATTCTTCACCTCTTCTGTGTCTACACTCTTTTTACTTTTAGAATGATGGGCAAAATCTTGTCTACCTTTCACATAGCCTCCCAGCTTCTTCTGTTCTCTTAGATATTATCAGTAATTATAGGTAAATATGTGTGCATGGTTCCTTTTGTACACAAATTGTTGCATATTTCACACAATCCTGCAGTTCATGTGACTTGAAGATTGTCCTGTATCCGTTAGTGTATATATCTCTAGTATCAACTTCTTAAAGTGGAATTGCTGTGTCAAAGGATATATGCATTTTAAAGTTTGAGAGTGACAAACTGCCCTCCATAACAAATAGTACTAATATACCTTCCCATCTAGAAATCTGTTATTATGTACTTGTTTTAAAAAGGCAATCATCAAACCATTTTATATTATACATGTGGCTTTTCAAAAGGTATCTCAGTGAATTATTAAAATTTATTTTAAAATTTCAAACTTACAGGAAAGTCACAAGTACAGTAAAGTACTACTGTATACCCCACCAAGACTCCCCAATTATTAACTATTAATTTAATTTTACTCTGTAATCTTCTCTGTATATAATATCCCATTGTCATTATTTTTCTAAACCACTGGAAAGCAAGTTGCTAACATAATTCTCCTTTCACCCCTACATGCTCCAGTATGCAGTATTTCTGGAACACAAAGACCCTCTCTTACTTACAAAGCCACGACACAACCATCCAAAGCAGAATATGAATACTGAAAGAACACCACTGTCCAAAAATAATGCTGTGCCGTGCATCACCTCAGGGGGCAAAAGACACTGACCTACTTCACCTGTTCAGGTTGGTGTCTGATAAATTTACAGGTGAAGAAGCCTACCAGTTCCCCCTATGTAATTGAGAAGTATATTGTGGGAAGATCTGATGAAAAATGGGATATTGGCCTGCTCTTAAACTTCCGCCCACCAGCCTTAGCATCCAGTGACGACCCCCACCTGACCTACTCATTGCAATGGTTGTCAAATGGGGAGGCACTTCCCCGTCATTCCTTCTGCATTTATTAGTTGACATTCAATTGGAAAGGAAAGCACTTCTTTCTCTCTTGTATATTTGTATCAGTGTGTACATTTACACTCTTATTCAATGGGGTACAATCCACTACGGCCCTTTATTTTGATTCTCAGACTGTCCCAGATTGGGCTGCCCCTTAAAGCTGGATCCTGTGTTGTTTGAGCATCTTCTTACTTCCTGGCACTACATATCCCAGGCTCGTTTTGTGCTCTGCTGACCTAGCCCTGGAATCATCTATTTCCCCAAGGAGCCCCGGTTTCTTTCAGTCAGAGGTTGAAACATTTTCTGGAAAGGACTGAGTAGTAAATATTTTAGGATTTGTGGACAATAGGGTTCTTTCATGACTACTTAACTCTGCTGTTACAGTGCAAAGTCAGCCACAGACGACTCGTAAATGAACGGGCACTAGTGCAAATGAGTGCACTCCATGCAGTTGTCGGGCCGTGAGCCAGACTGGCCTGCTGGCCACCATTTGCTGACTGCTTTTTAGTGAAGGATGGTATTTAACTTTTAAAAATTAAGACATAATTGACATATAGCATTATGTTGGTTTTGGGTATACCATAATTTGAGAAATGGGGTTGGAAAAGTAGGTTTGCAGGTGTGAGTATGCAAAGCAGTTTATTCTTGCATTATTATTTATTAATTATTGTATTTTCCATGTGAACAACTGTAAACCTACTTTGCCCACCACTATGTATATATTGCAAAATGATTATCACAATAAGTTTAGTTAACATCGATCACTTCACAGCTACAAATATTTTTCTTGTGATGAGAATTTTATGATCTAATCACTTAGCAACTTTCAAATATGTTGTTGAGTTTTGTTAACTGTTGTCACCATGCTGTATATTACATCCCCAGGACTTATTTATGATTGGAAGTTTATATGTTTTGAGGATGGTCCTTAGAAACCAAGATCTGGGAACTTAGTATACACATTGCTACAAGTATATTTTGCTTCTAGGTTCTTGCAAGAAATAGAACTAAAAATATATGCACACACACACACACACACACACACACACACACAACTGTATCTAATTATACTGCAAAACTATGACTGCACACTGTTAACCTCCAACTCCATCCCAATACCTCATGGTTCTTTCTAGCCTTCCCCTTCCCTATATGTAAATCCCTCTTCAGTTCCCATTGCTGCGTCTCTCTGCACGCAAGCAATCTCCTGACTGTGCTGGGCGCCTTTCTAGCTCCAAGCCAGCTCTCTAGCCACACATTCTTATCCCCACCACCTCCTCAGCCTCATATTTCCCCCTCCAGGGAAAGGAAAGGGAAGAGCTTATAAATAAGGGTGATTATTCTCTCGTATGGCTAAGAGCCATTGCTTCTTTGAATTGTCTATTTATATACCTTGTCCAGTTTCTCTACTGGATTACTTTCCATTCATAATCTTTGCTGGTTTTTCCATTAAGTTGTTGGTCTT